ATAATATATAATTATGTAATATGTTAGCATAAGTATTTAGATGTAAGTAATTTATAAGTCTGTATTAGTTGTGTAAGTTATAATGTAATAAATAATTTTATATGTGGTTTTGTATAAATAAATATAAATACTACCTTGACCTCCCTCCACAGATGTGGAGTGTACCGATGAGCCAGACATGATCTTAGTATACGAGTAGCCGCATCGACCACGTCCTGTCCGCCCCATTGTAGTAGTGCTGGAAAGATGCCGTCAGAGCCAGCAGATTTGAAAGGCGCAAAGCAGTTAATAGGCCACTTTACTCCCTCAGGCGTAATTACCGTCTCTGCTAGTCTCCAGCATCCTTCTGTTGTACTTGGAGGTTCATCTTGCCAAGTCACCTGCTCTGTAAGCTGGCAGTCCGGAAAGTGGGTTTCTAGGAGGATAGCGTCGCAGTCAGCACGATTGTGGGACAATGTGCCGTCAGGTCGACGCAGGCTTCCCAGCATGCCAGGGCCTTGCTTGGCCAGCAATTTCCTTACCCGGTTTGCCTGGTTGGTGGAGCTTATCTCCTCGGTGAAGTTCCTCCAGGAGGCTGTTCTCCAGTATCTGATACGTTTTTTGTACTTAGCTTTGGTAGCTTTGTAGTTGTCCCAGTCTGTGTCGCTGCATGTATTCATTGCTCTGTTAAGGCACTTCCTCACCTTTCCTCTCAATCTCTCGAGCTCCGGCCCCCACCAGTGGTGTTTTCCGGATACTCTCGAGTTCGGGAGTCTAAGGGGGCAGGCCTCTTCGTAGCAACGCGTTATGCTGTCTGTCAAGTGTTTTACCTGTTGTTCTAGCTGCTCCGTGGTTTTAATTCTGCCCTTACCGGAGTTGTTTCTTAGAAGGTCCGCCAGTAGTTGTGCGTAGCGGTGTTTATCGGTTTTCCGAGGATACCTTTGGGGTGTAGGAGATAGAGTTCCTACCTGTAGTGTAAAACGGATCCAGCGGTGATCTGAGCATGATGCCTCATTGGAGACATGCCAGCCAGATATAGCTGTTGCCGCTTTTGGTGTCGCGAGGGTCAGGTCTATGATGGTCTTGCACCGTCTTCCTACGAAGGTAGGTTCATTGCCTGTGTTGATTAACTCTAGGTTAGTAGTCAGGAGGAATTCAAATAATTGGTTACCTCTGTTGTTGCTTTGTTCCCTTCCCCACACAGGGTGATGGGCATTGGAGTCTGTCGCGATGATCAGTTCTACGTTTTCCCGAGCACAGAAGCGGACCAGAGACGCAACGTTTTCTGGTGGGGCCCGCTCGCTGTCAGGCATATATGCAGAGGCTATGATCACGTCACAACTGTTATTATCTTGGTTTAGGGTCAGTTTTACAGCGCAGAGATCTCTGGAACAGAAATTCATTAAGGGCTGTGTTCTGATGTTTTTGGAAATGTATATGCAGGACCTTACGTCGCTAGTAGTGGCTTGAACGAGCTTACCTCCTATGCTGGAGAGTCCTCGCACCGTGCCACTCCTAATCCACGGCTCCTGGATTAGTGCGACTGTTGTGTTGTTGGTCTCCAACCACCGCCGAAGCTGAGCCGTAGCGGTTACGCTGTGGTGGAGATTTATTTGCAGTATGTTTGCACTACTGCAGAGGGACGCCATCGTCCTGGCAGTCGACGTCCTCAAGCCCCAGCCCGTCGAGCTCCAGGAGACACTCCTCACTAAGCGGCGAAGACGCCACCTGCGAGGGTCCCGGAACTTCGACAGCCGGTGACGAGGCAAATAGAACGACGGTGTCCGTGGGGCCAGCGCTAGACGTGTCTGACGTTTATTATCTAAATCATCCCGTGAACGCGGTGGATATCGATCAATGTAAATAAAAGGATTCCACAAATGAAAGCTTTACCACCATTACAAAAATTGCGTGTCAAGAACAAAATTATGGAATTATTATTGGAGAAGACAGAAAAAATGGAATATGGGAGAAGATACGACTCGTACGGCTATGGTACTCATGGCAACATGGATTGAAATACTTTCAATTACGCGGATTCTTACACACAACAGTAATTGCCTCATAATTAATATGCTATGCGTTTTCGTAATTGTAAAACTCGTACTAAGGGTACAGCTTTGTTTAGGTTGAATTGAATAAATGGCTCAGCTATCCTTTTTTGGCAATAAAGAATAAAGAGAAAACTAAACAGTGGTACCAATTCTGGCATGATTCTCTAAACTTAAAACTAAATTTAACATCAGTCTCTCCTTTTCATTCTGTATAGAGAATGACAAGGATATACTGCTGTCAAATTTAAGTTTAGGTTTAGAGAATCATGCCAGAATCGACACCATTGTTAAGTACGTTTAATCGAGTCATCGAGCATACGATATCGTGAAGACGAGGAGTGAAATTCTATACTCGTACTGCGACACAATTCGAAAAACGACGACGACTATTTTCTTCACATTTATCGGTATTTTAGAAGCTTAAGCTTGCGTCACTGGTATTTGGGTTGCCAGAGACTTTCTAAAGCGAAAACGTGGGTTCAGAAAGTCTCTGGCAACCCAGACCTGGAAAAGCTTAAGTCATACGGGGCACTAAGTATGTTCTACAGCTACTGTACTTAAAGCACAGACATATAATACTATAGCAGACGGAACATAAAACCTAGTTATATTTATGAATCAAAACATGATCTTTTATCCTTTTTGTACTCAGCTACAACTTGATAGTGGCATCTCATTCTTTCATCTATTGCAATACTGACTCACACATCAACAAATGTCGACGCGTGTCATTTTTATTCGTCGCCGCCATTTTATACATGACTTATCGGACATGCGACTTTTCGGTGTTTATTATGAATATTGCTTTGATGAAACTATATTACAAAACGAGATTATTCAATTACTATGGTCAAGTACAGTGCGTATCGATGTGAAAGTGCTACCTACAATAGAACACCAGGATTAACGTTTCATCAGTAAGTTTTTATGTGTCTTTGTTGTGTACTGAAATGTCTTTGAGTCTTTTTGAAGCTTATTTAAATATTGTCGTAACATGTAACATTTTTTACGTAGGATTATTTATCTAAGATACTACCGGTGAAAAGTAATATCTTAAAAGTAAAGAAATAGAAGTAATCAGGTTATATCATGATAGGAAATTCCAATTCTGACAACTGAAGTACTATTGCCATAACAGAGGACGGACTCGGTATCAAAGACAAAAAGTTTCTCGGCATTAATTTTGTTTGCATTACATTGTATTATGAATGTGAATGCAATCAAGAACGTAAATAGATAGGCACCTATTACAGACTAGCTATTCATATTTCTTGGAACATTGGCATCGGTAGGTATATAACCCAAATAACCACATAAACAATTTTGTTCTAGGTTTCCAAAGGATAAAAGTACTCGGAATGCATGGTTAAAATCTATGAAACGTCAGGATTGGCAACCAAATACTTATAGTGTTTTAAGTGTTTTTTGTTTTAAAATAAACAAAAGTAATGATTTTAATAGTTTGATTAAATTCATATGTGATTATGTCGATTATTCAATATTTGACTCGAACAATCCAGATCATGATATAAACCATGTCCACTTGCTTATTAAAGTTGTTAAAATTTTATTTTGATCTTAGATGTAAACATCAATGTTAAGAAACAAATGTATCTCAGAGAAATTTTCTAAAAAAACTTGCATTATTTCAAAATATATAGATAAAAACTATGCCTTAATTTTTTATTTCAATTTTCCTAATTGTACCTATGTCCTTTCCCTGGGTTAATTCTATCTCCGTGCTCAATTTCATCATTATCGGTTCAGTGATTTCGCCTGGCTAAATTCGCCATGAAGATATTAAACAGACAGTTTTTAACATTTATAATATTATTAGCATGGACATCACATTAGGACCTATCTATTCGGATAGGTATTTCATGAAACAATAATGAAATCCATTATTCTACTATACTAAATGCGGCCCATGCTTTGGTAGAGTTTCAATGTGTGTGTATTTGCCACGCTGTTTAAAACTGAATATTCCGTCTGCTTCTAGTTATATGTCTGTGACTTAAAGCTTCTATTTTGTGAGATCACGAATATTCTTTTCTTGTATAATAACTTGCATGATTTCTTGAACAATCTTTGCCATGTCTGCTTAAAATCAAGTATGTCTTCTGACGTAATGGATTTGACGAAAAATTCTCTAGTTTTTGCTGCTGATATAAGATTATTATACTATGAGAACGTTAATTCAGTCTTTTCTCCTGTAAGCTTTTTTGTTGTTCCGAAATTGCTATCACACTGTAAATACGAATACCCGCATAGGAAAGTATTGATATATCTTATCGAAACGACCCATTGTAGTAAGGATGAGCAAAAATCTTATGAGTGTGTGATGATACTCATCATCAATCGATGATTTTACTTTTGACACCTACAGGCATCACTAAAGACACGAGAAGAATCCATATTCTGTATTATTTTCCATATATTTTCATATACGCAGATTCAACATAAATGCACTATTTTTTATAGTTATTTCTATTTGAATATTTATCAGACAAATGTGAACTTTATACTATGGAAGAAGGCGTGTTATTTGGAAGAAGGAAATAAATCCCGGATTTGTTCCCATCTCCAACTAATCGTTTTTCGATAACATGAAATATATGAAGTTAAAGTGATTTATTCCTGTCTTCTAAAGCACACGGTACGGTTACGTATAAAGTACATAACGACATGTTAGAGTGAATTTGGGAAAGATGGTGTTTATTTCCTTCTTCTAATTGGTGGTTCAATTTTGGTCAATCATTGCGTCGGGAAGACATAAAAATGACACTGAAAATAAGGAATAATATCGGCGTCACATTCGTTATAGGTGGTTTTTAAAAGGATTCAGGCTCACGAAATCTAATGGCTTCCAATACACCCAAATATTAGAAAAGTCGAACATCTCCTTTCTTTAAAAATATGTTCAAGATTAGGCTGTGTGGACTTAGTATCCTTTGCTTTCTCATGATGAAAGAATTACATTAAGAAGTATCATATTTTATTCCCGTTTTCCCGCGATTTTAAACGTCAAGTCATTTTAAGTGGAAAAGAAACAGTGAATCGTTTCATTTTTAGCATCTATTTGTTACAGTTAACAGCTAAATCTAAGAATCCAAAAGTTTGCAAATATGGTTGGCAAAACGAACAAGTTATATGTTTTGAAAAGAGGTAAGAACCTTAGTTATTTAAAAATACAAAGACGAACTATACTAGTGTATTCTCCTGGAATGATTGAGATTTGGCTTAAAATGTGCTATTTTTTACTTTTATTAACATTAAATAAAAGCCTATTAAACAGGTGAAACAGCGCGGACCTATATAATTATTTTGTGGTTGGATCGAACGTGATAGCATAAGAAATTGATATCTTACATTGCTTGCTGAACTGATAGGTTCTGCGCTGTATAATTTGAAAATATATATACTTCAGGTTTATTGTTTATAAAAACAGATTCTACAAATCTTCCTCACAGTTCTTGATGTCTACTTATTATTTCTAAATACTTGTCATTTAACACAATTGTTTATTTTTGCAGGAGGAAGAATGGAAGAGGTCCACATTGATAAAATAACATCACGAATAAAAAAGCTTTGCTATGGGTTAAACATGGACTTTGTAGATCCTGTGAGTAGATACTCTTTCTACACTACACTACACTACTACTACACTTCTAGATTTTCTAATATTTCCAGAAACCAAGCCAATATGTTTCCAAGACTGAACTTAATTGAACTTACCTACTGGCTGAAATTCAACAACCTTAGTTCTGTGAAATATTCCTATAAAATCATTAGATACTAGTGGCCTGCCCTTGCTTCATGTCGGTGTAGATCTGTAGTTTAGACTATAGTTTTTTTCAAAGACTTAGATTATACACAATGACTTTCTTCATAATATTATAAACCTTCCATTCCAAGTAAAAAATGTATTGCATAATTGTTGTATGTAACTATTGTACAAAAAGGACCATTGCTCTGCTGTTCCGATTTGAAAAATTCTTGTATTAGACTATATAACATCAGGCTACGACCAGTAACAGCAGAGCATTGATGAAAAATGTTGCAAAAATGGGTAAAAATATTCCACTTGTCAGATTCCGTTACTACGTAAAGTTACACTTAAATCATCTATCACAAAATTGTTCCCCTTTAAAAATTCTGTAAAAAATCCATGACAGCATATGTCCATATTTTAAGTTTGACTCGCTATAACCTATTTCTTCAATTTTATGCGGCTGAAACTGCAGGGGACCTCTAGTTGTGACATACCTATGGTATCACAGACCTTATTGTTGTCCTCTTTAAAACTTAAGTACATCACTTTGCTCTATTGTCAATGACTTACGCAGCGTACACAATATAAGGATATTTATTGGTATTTTTCCACATGTTGGGTGGGTTACATTATCGAGGTTTTCATATGGAACCCTAACTTTTCTGAAAATACACTTAAGCCTATGTTCATCACGGATAATGATGGACTCTAAATGTGAAAGAATTTTTCGAATCGGTCCAGTAGTTTCGGAGTCTATTCAATACAAACAAACAATCAAAGCTTTCCTTTCTTTATAATATTAGTATAGATAGGTTGGAGAAAACTTCATGCGTAAAATCACAAATAGTAAAACTTTTGCAGCAATTTTGCAAGTAGAAAAACAAGGTACATGATAACAATCCTGTAAATAACATTAATTACTTTAATGTTAGTGACCATGAAAGTTTAATACAATATATTCTGCAGAAGGTGTTACTATATCTAAAACTGTTACTGCACAGGCTTTTTTGTCTATGGTATTTGCTCAAGAAGTTTGCTGGGGTGTATAATGTATAAGCTTCTCTTATCACAGTCCAATGACACTTATATACTTACGATGATAAGAGAGCACAAAATGAAAGTTTTACAAATTATACCTAGCAATATAACTAGTTTTTGCAAGAATCTCTAAAACTAAAGGACACCTTGCATTTTTATGCTCAAGTTGTATGCTTATTTGTTTCTGCAAATCTGGCAATATCTGTCAACAAGTAATGGCAGGGGTGCGTGCCATGCAGAAAGGCGCCTATTCACGGCAGTCCGCGGCTATATGCAGGATCGTGAATTTTGTAGCAGCCTGCATCGCGACTGGCAACAGGATGCGTCTTGAGCCCTGCACGGCGAACTGCAATGCAGGGCCCCTTTAGACTCCAGCTTCAACAACTGTGAAATATGACATAAGTTCCATACATTTCAATTTTGAATATAAGACTGAGAAGTTGCACTCATAGAGTAAGTTTGGCATTATTATGTATTATTTTCTCTTCAGGTGTCCATAACATTAAAAGTTATAAATGGGATTTACTCTGGTGTAACAACTGTTGAATTAGATAATTTAGCAGCAGAAACCGCGGCAACTATGACTACTAATCATCCTGACTATGCTGTGTTAGCTGCTCGACTAGCTATATCCAACCTACACAAAGAAACTCAGAAACATTTTTCAGGTAAAATATTAAATATCTAAATACCGTTTAAAATAGTCGAGTGTGTGGAGACACTGAAAAAGTTGGCTCCAAAAGAAAAGCCAGTAAGAAATAGAAAGTACAAAAGTTAAGTAAACCCGTACCTAAATATCTATGTCGTCTTAGAATATAAAACACAAGGCAGATGAAATCGAATAGGCACCAAGTGCGGCAGATCAATATAAGAGGGGCAACCTTGCACCCTGTTAAGTGCTCCCACCACACTTAGAAAGCCATCGCATCAATAGAACACGAAGGGCATCAGTAGAGGAACATAATTCCTGCCACAAATGTCAGTTTCCTTTCTATTAGATTCTAACAAACTAGTAGAAAAAGTGTTTCAAAACGTGCTATGCAATCTCATTAGATTTTGACGTTTTCAAACTCCCGCCTATGAGAATCACTATGTCGTCCACATAGCCGACTGTGTAGAATTTGCGTTTATTGAGCTGACAAATTAGTTAATCAACTGCAATATTCCACAAGAGTGGAGATAGAACCCCCCCTTGTGAGCAGCCCCTAGCCACTACTGCTCTCATTTTAGTGTTTACAGTCACTTGTATCACTCTGTTTTTTCAACATTTTGTTGATCCATCTCGTAGTTGTAGGGTCAATGCCATGTTTCACCAGTGCTTGGCCTATGCTGGTAAAGTTAGTCTTATCAAAGGCACCTTCAATGTCTATGTTACCTTGTTTAAATGTTTTAATTTAAATTTCCAGTTTACTGAACCAAGCAGAGTAACATCTCACTCAGCCACTTGTTTAGACAACTTTTTTTCTGAGTTGGATGCAATTGAAAAATCAATCTTTAGTGATATTACTTTCGATCATCTCGGTTTAAAGACAACTTACAGTTTCAATGTCAGTACTGAGCCAAACATAATAGAGTGTAGACATATAACAAATGAATGTGTAAATATTATTAAAATAATATTAGCGATAAACTTCCCCTGATGCCTTGGACGCATGATTATCCGGATATTTTGTACAAAATTTTTTTTGATTTAATAAATAATGAATTTACATTCATACATTCAGACCGAAAACCATTAAATGTACACAGAGGTTGCAGTTCTGTGACTGGGCGACAAGTGGTATATATAAGAGTAGAACAAGGCTGTATGAGCTTTATAGAATCAAAGAATATAACCAGGATCCTGATTTTATTAACTATGTTAGAAAATATTCCAAATTGTTTAAAAGCATATGTAATACTGCAAAGTCAAATTTTATTAGGGATAAAATTCAAAAATCTAATAATAAAATAAAGACCACTTGGGATGTTTTTATTTATTTTTAAGCATTTAACTGCTAGATGTTTAAAAAAAATCCAAAAAAATCTACGCGGACCAGGCAGCGGACGGGACTCGAACCCGCACCCTTCGCAATCCGGGCGAATGCACTGACCATTATGCTATCACGGCCCTATTTGCCGCGTCGAAATTTTTCTAGCCTTAAGCTGCAAGGCAGCGCCATCTCTTCACATTGTAGGTAACCCGCAATGTGAAATGAATACTTTTTCTAGAAAAGTTTTACTAGAAAAAAAAATTTTTTTTGTAGTAAAACTTTTCTTTAGATCACTTGGGATGTCATTAAGCGCGAAAGTGGCAAGTGTAAGCCTCGTGAAAATAGCATGGTTCTTAAAATCAATAACAATCGCGTAAAATCGAAACATGAAGTGGCAGATATTTTCGATAAATTCTTTATGAACATACCAGTAGAAACTACTTCCAACTTGGACTCATCGCCTGATACTGCTACAGCTCTGTTACAAAAACGTACCTCCGTGTGGTTTATTATTTAATTTTAAGCATGTTAGCTCTTTTAAAATAATTAAAGTTTTCCATTCATTGAAAATGAAAAATGCATCTGATTTATGGGGTATATCTGTCAAAGTCATAAAGAATATTATACATTCTATAGCCCCTTACATTGCTGATATTTTTAATTCATGTATAGATCAGGGAGTATTCCCTGATCTTATGAAATTCAGTAAAATTATACCTTTATTTAAGTCTGGAAATTGTAAAGATCCTAGCAACTATAGGCCAATATCTATATTACCAGCATTGAGTAAAATCTTTGAAAAAAATATGTTAGAACAATTGTTGACTCATTTTAATATTAATAAACTTTTACACAGAGCGCAGTACGGTTTCACTAAAAACCGTTCCACAACTGATGCTGGTGCCACTATGCTAAAATATATATTTAATGCATGGGAAAAATCGCAGGATGCTCTTGGAGTTTTCTGCGATTTATCTAAAGCCTTTGATTGCGTTAATCATCAAACTTTGTTACAGAAATTAAATCATTACGGCATAAAAGATGTCGCACAAAAATTAGTGCAATCATATCTAACGCAGAGGACACAAACAGTTGATATTAACGTTACAAAATCAACGCGATCTCATGTGAAAATAGGCGTTCCTCAAGGTTCAATTTTAGGTCCATTTCCTTTTTTTAATATACATTAATGATTTACCTTTCTTTGTGGAAAATTTTTGTGACATTGTTTTGTTTGCAGATGATACCTCACTAATTTTTAACATTGACAGGTATAAAACAAATTTTGACGATGTAAACAATGCACTTTCTAAAGTACTTCACTGGTTCTCTAATAATAATCTTAAACTTAATGCGAAAAAAACTAAATTTGTGAAATTTACTTTGCCGAATGTAAAGCATGCTGAAATGGGGGATATAATTCTAAATGGTGAAAAACTAATTTTAGTCGATACAACCGTTTTCTTAGGCGTAACACTAGACAACAAACTTCAATGGAACCCTCACATTACAACACTAGCCGGTAAACTTAGTTCTGCTGCTTATGCAATGTATAAAATAAAACGGCTTACAGATGTCGACACTGCTAGGATAATATACTTTAGCTACTTTCACAGCATTATGTCGTATGCAATTCTATTGTGGGGCACGGCCGCTGACATTGAAACGGTTTTTATTCTTCAAAAACGAGCTATAAGAGCTATTTATTGCTTGGGATCTCGAACTTCTCTTAGGGATACATTTAAAGAAATAGGTATAATGACTGTTGCCTCTCAATACATTTACAATTGTATATTGTTTGTGCGTCAAAACATAAATTTATAAACGAGGCGCGATGATGTACATAATTTCAATACCAGAAATAAAGATAAACTCAAATTGTGGCAATTTGAGTTTAGAGTTTGAGTTTTGAGTTGAGACTCCCAAAATGTTCTTGGTTCATTTGTGGGTCAAGGTATATGTTACTATAATAAAATACCAAAAGAAATGATTGACTTACCTTTTAATAAGTTTAAAGTGTGTATAAAAACATGTCTCCTTAAAAAAGGTTACTATACTGTTAAAGATTTCATGAATGATAGGCACCTTGGGCTTAATATAATAGACTAAGTTGTTTTATTTTGCTAATTTGGTTGAAAATTGTTTAATCGCCACTTCTTAATTTAAAAATAGTACCTAGCTATACTTAACTTTTATAAATAATAATATTAATGTGATGAAAGTTGACATCAACACATCTTTTAAATTTTTAATGTCATCTTTCAATTGACGACTCTGTATGAAACAAAACAGGGAGAAAAAAATAGCCCTTGCTGAGTTTCTTGCCGGTTCTTCTCAGTACAAGGTCTCCCGCCGTAGATTTACGAACCGATGGCGTAGCGTTTGACTTTCACAAGAGCTTGTAACAGCCTAGACTGAATAAATGAGTTTGAGTTTATGAAGACGCTCAGGGTTGATTGTTTTGGTAGTGCTGCCCGTGCTGGAAGGTAAACGGATGCTAAGACTAACTCTGGAAAGCCTGGTGTAACCCATATGAGCCTGATGGCAGTCAGGTCTCTGGAACAGAACTCGGTAATTAATACGGTTTTTACATGCCTTGGAGCAAATGCATATTCTTGGTTTACTTACTGTAGTTTTCAGGAGCAATTTTCCTCCGATGTTAGTCCGACCACAGATCCTCTCCTTCCTTATCCATGGCTCTTGGATGAGGGCTACGGTCTCGGTATTAACCTCCAGCCCTCTTCGAATGTTCGTCGTGGCTGTTTGGCTGTGCTGGAGATTGGCTTCGATTATGTTAAAGAGGGGGGGCTGGGTTTGTGTTCGTCATTTTGACGAGACAAACTTCCTACACTCACTGCCTTCTATCGCCTGTTCTTTCTCGAGCCACCAGTTCTTGCGTACAGCATTGCAGCATCATTGACCTTCAATGCGTCGGATATTTGACGGCGGGCGTCGTCGAACCTGTCTTCGGCCTCTTGTTATCACCTCTATGTGATACGGTGTCGTTGGGTTGTCCCTTTGGTTTGTGTTTTTGGCTGTCGCTGCCGTTTGCCGCGGGGTTGAGGCAAACCACGCGAGGTTTGTTGCGGGCTAACCTAGTCGCAAGCTGTTTAGCCGTTAACTGTTCAGCCTTCGGTGTCTGCAGTGCCTTGCTGGTAGTACTCACGGGCGGTTTGGTGATGGCCTGTTCGCTTCGGACTTCCACGTTCCAAGACTCAGCCCCTTTCGGGGTAGCATTCGAGATCGGGGTACCGAGTGCAGACAGGTCCTTGACCTCCTGCGCCGTGACGGTGGTATATGAACGTTTGCGTGAGTGTTAGGAGCATCTGAAGACGCAGCCGTGTGTGTTAAGTGTATTGGGAGCATCCGATGAGGATTTTAGGGAATATAAATCAACAATCATATTTCTTTCTTTTCTTATTTCAGAGGTTATAACCAGTTTATACAATATCATCAATCCACATACGAAAAAACGAGCTCCAATGATTTCTGACACCCATTATAATATCATAATGAAGAACAAAGAAAGACTAGACTCTGCTATTGTTTACGACAGAGACTTCAAGTATAATTATTTTGGATTTAAAACTCTTGAAAGATCATATTTATTAAAGATCAATAACAAGGTTTGTAATGAGTAACGCTATCTTCTAAGTATTATAATTAGGTATATTGCTATTTATGCAGTTGTTTATTTAGGTACTTGTTAAAATTACGACATTTCTTTTGCATCTAAGCCACTAAAGATTTTTTCCTAAGAGCTTTTTTTCTATACTCCCTAAGATTATAAGAGGTTTTATTATTAATAATAAAATGACTTGGATAATATTCTATGTTTTAGGTTGCTGAACGACCACAGCATATGCTGATGAGAGTATCTATTGGTATCCATGGTGAAGATATAGATGCTGCCATAAATACTTACAATTTGCTGTCTGAAAAATATTTTACACACGCCAGCCCAACCCTGTTCTCAGCTGCCACACCACGGCCACAATTGTCATCTTGTTTTCTTGTAGCTATGAAAGATGACAGTATTGAAGGTATATATGATACTTTAAAACAATGTGCGCTTATATCTAAATCTGCTGGTGGAATCGGAGTCCACGTTCACTGTATCAGAGCTAAAGGATCATATATCGCAGGCACAAATGGTGTATCTAACGGACTCGTGCCAATGCTTAGGGTTTACAACAACACAGCAAGATATGTAGATCAAGGTGGAAATAAACGCCCCGGAGCTTTTGCAGTGTATTTAGAGCCTTGGCATGCAGACATTTTTGAATTTCTCGACCTCAAAAAGAACACTGGCAAAGAAGAAGTACGAGCTCGAGAGTTGTTTTATGCTTTATGGATACCGGATCTTTTTATGAAAAGAGTTGAAAAAAATGAAGACTGGAGTCTTATGTGTCCTCATGATTGTCCTGGATTAGCTGACTGTTGGGGAGATGAATTCGAAAATCTATATGAACAATACGAAAAAGAAAAGCGTTTTGTGAAACAGGTCAGCGCCCAAGTTTTATGGAAAGCCATAATCGAAGCCCAAGTTGAAACGGGAACACCCTATATGCTTTACAAAGACGCTTGTAACAGGAAAAGTAACCAAAAGAACTTAGGCACTATAAAATGTAGTAACTTATGCACTGAGATCGTTGAATACACGTCAGCTGACGAAGTCGCGGTGTGTAATTTAGCATCTATTGCTTTGAACATGTTTGTTAATGAAGATAAAACATATAATTTTAATAAATTAAAAGAAGTCACCAAAATTATTACTCAAAACTTAAATAAAATCATTGATGTTAATTTCTATCCGATCCCGGAGGCAAGAAAATCAAATATGAGGCATAGGCCTATAGGAATTGGTGTTCAAGGGCTAGCAGATACATTTGTCTTGATGCGCATTGCATATGAAAGTGATGCAGCGATGAAACTTAATCAACAAATATTTGAAACCATTTATTACGGGGCACTAGAAGCTAGTTGTGAACTTGCAGAAAAGTATGGGGTTTATGACACTTACGAAGGAAGCCCATCCAGTCAAGGTATATTACAATACGACATGTGGAGCAAAACCCCCACCGACCTTTGGAACTGGAATGCTTTAAAAGAAAGAATTTCTAAGCATGGTTTGAGAAATTCTTTATTATTAGCTCCTATGCCAACAGCATCCACGGCTCAAATTCTTGGTAACAATGAATCATTTGAACCTTTCACATCAAATATATACCAAAGAAGAGTTTTGTCTGGCGAGTTCCAAGTTGTAAATCATCATTTATTGCGTGATTTAACTGAAGCAGATTTGTGGGATGAAGACATGAAAAATCTTATAATACACAATAATGGGTCAATACAAAATATAGAAGCTATTCCGAAAGAAATAAGAGATCTATATAAGACTGTTTGGGAGGTGTCTGTTAAAACTACAATTCAAATGGCTGCCGATAGGGGTGCATTTATTGACCAAAGTCAGTCTTTTAACATTCATGTAGCTGAACCAAATTACGGTAAATTAACATCGATTCACTTTTATGCTTGGAAAATGGGTCTTAAAACCGGCATGTATTATTTGAGAACAAAGCCAGCTGCTAATGCTATACAGTTTACAGTTGATAAATCAAAAGTCAGAGGTAAAGTTACGAATGGAAATTCTGATGAGGCAAACATGGCAGCAATAACATGTTCCCTACAGAATAAAGATAATTGTTTCAGCTGTGGATCATAAATACAGTACCTACTGATTTCATTGTAATAATATAATGGCACTAAGGCCCGTATTAATTGATCACTCTCAACCCTGAGAAGACGACGAAAACAGCATCTATCAATCAATATGGGCCTTTAACTTCACAATAAGCTATTAATTATTCGACTATATTTTGATTTAGTATACCCTTTACGACCACCTAATGATACTACAAGATACATAGATATTCGTTTTATTCTATGAACTATATGCACTTGAATATTATTAATGTATACTAAGCATTTATATCCCTCAGCCCAGTGTACTCCCGTGGTTACATTACTTATATACAGTAGAACCCGTTTAATACGATACGATCACGCTTAATACGATTTCTCGCATAATACGCCATTTTGCGTCAGTCCCTGCAACAATACGATTCGTCATCCCGTTTAAGACGCCTAAATCGCCAACACATATTACCTCTTGCGGCAACATAAAATTCAATGACAATGTAAATAACACTCAAGATTAGGCCTTAAGTGATAATGATCAAGAAGATGAGTAAACTCCGATTTTGTCACACGCCCAGGCATTATCAGTAGGGCATCGAGAACCGATTACATTTTCGGAACCGGTTCTTTCGGTTCCCTTCAAAACACAGAACCGGGTACCCGGTTCTTTTGGGCAAGTAATTTATTTAAAGGGTAGATGATCAAATAATGAAGTGCTTATTCAAAATCAATAACCATGTTTTACTTATTAGAAACACAAGAATCTTTAAAAATTGCAATGTTAACAAAAACCATCGATTTTTAAATTCTGAAATTAATAACAATTAGTTCAGTTCACAGTATTCAGTTCTTTCTTAATTTTGCGAAATAAACAGAAATTATAACATATAAATGTTTTTTTTTTCTTACAACTAATCAACTTTAATAATGTTCCAAAATATATAAAAATGAACATTATTAAACTACTAGAGGTCGCCCGCGACTTCGTCTGCGTTAACTTAGTTTCTTGAAAATCCCTCTGGAACCTAACATTTTTTCGGGATAAAAGCAGCCTATGTGTTAATCTAGGGTGTAAGCTAACTCCATAGCAAATTTTATTAAAATCATTCCAGCCGTTTAGACGTGAAGAAGTAACAAACATACACACTCACATACTCACAAACTTTCCCCTTTATAATATTAGTGTGATATAAAATCAAACATACCTGCAATATGGCGTAAACACAGCAGAACGATGCTTACTTTCCAGTTAAAATGGCGTACTGACATTGCATTGGCCGGCGCCACCGGCGCCTAGCTACATTTTTTTAATAGATTTTCATCTTCGTATACGAGACTTTTTGAGCTTGCGTGGGTAAACAAAATGTTTTAAAATAATAACCGAAAGAACCGTTAGAACCGGGTTTTTACATCTGAGAACCGGTTCTTTTAGATACTCCCAGAACCGGGTTTTTCCGGTTCTTTCGGTTCCGGGTAGAACCGGTTCCGATGCCCTAATGATCAGCAGTTAATGATTTAAGACGATAATTATGTAACTTCTTTGAATCAAAGCAAAGACGCACTGCATAAGTAAAAATGTTTTTAAAATCTTGTAATTGTTTATGCCTTAAAACCTAAAATAGTGATTAATTTAAATAACATTATAATAAATAATAATACACTATTTTTTTATAACATACATAATTCTTAAATATTGTACATTTAATACCTCAATACCTATATTCGAAATTTCCTTGTCCCGCAATCCCGCATAACACGATTTCCCGCTTAAGAAGCGTTTTTGGTTGAGTCCCTGTGAAATCGTCTTAAACGGGTTTTACTGTACTTGACCGCTGTAAATTCTACCCTCCCGATGGTCCACGGGACGCGGGAGGGGGATGCGCTCGACCAATCAATCAGTAGCCTGTCGGCTGCCGACAGCGATAGAGTCACGATCAGAGCTCGCGCGGTTGCAGCCTTGTGTCCGCTATACATGAGGCATTGCATACAGCACACATGGAATTACCCGAATCTACGTAAATAAAAAGTTTAGAAGTCAAGCAAAGACTGTGCTATTAACTGTAGCGTATTTTAAATAAATATGATTTTCCTTGTAACAATATTTATATAGCAAGACTACGCATTAATTAACATTTACAATTGAAAAAAATATATTACAAAATCAAAATAATTATACTAATACATTCGAAATAATAATACGCTTTAGAAATATCAACATGAAGATTTAATTATCATGAAATATCTCGCCGCGTCGGCAATGCCGTGTGTACCTGTGCACTTAGCCCCGAGTCCCGCGGGCCATCGGCCTAACCCAGCCTGAGCACCGCGATGTGTTATATAAAGCGTTGTTATCACACTCAATTGTCAAATTACTATGGTGTTTGACAGTTAGACGCGATAAAAAACGTGATGCAATGGTAATTGTAGTACTCATGCTACGGGGACAGGGATGGGCAAACTTTTTCTCTATCGTGCCAATATTTACTATCATTTATTTATGGCGGGCCACGATTTGCACCTATGCTAATCTATTTGAAATTTTGTGATAAGTCTTACAGTGTATTTTAATTTAATGTAGTAAAATAAATTTTTGAAGACTTGTAATGTAACCGTTTGTTTTTCGGATCCTTGGCATCTACATGATAGCATTTCGATTATTACCATGCATCCCAGGGCTCAGCTGCTTATTTAGGCTCGTTAGTTTATTAGATTATCAAATTAATTTCTACTCAATCTAACGACACGTATCTTTCTTGAAGGAAAACGGTCAGTTGGTAGTATTTATTTCGATCTATCAATTCAATCTCCAATTTTAGATATGTATTATGTTCTTGATCAATTTCAGATTGAATCAATTGAAAGTTTGATCAGTTTGAAACAATATTTGTGAATACTATTGTCAAATAATACACTTCCAGACACATCTATCAGCCCATTTAGTATTATAATTTTCGAAGCTGTAGCAAAAATATATGTTCGGTTAAGCAATAATAATTAATTCTTAATCACATATAAAAGAGATGGTTAATAAATCAGCTTCAAAACTGCGTTAAAACTTTTTCTCAATGTAACATTTATTTTCAGCTAGCGACCGTCAAAACTTAAAATGATAGTTGTGTCGATAGATCAGTCCAGAAGTATATTTTAGCTTACATTAAAACAAAAGGGAAGATACGGTACGCTCATACTAGCATAAAATAAAATATGCTCCGCCTCAACTACATACGCAACTCTCACATACGCACACTTCTGTAAGTCTGGGGTCCTTTATGAGAGGCGTGAAGAAGCATTTATGCAGGCCGGCAAGATGAGGATGGTTGGTGTTTTAGATTAAGTAAAATAAAGAACACTTTATCTTGAACCACCATCTTTATTGTGTAGTAATCATAGTCACAGTGTTGCCATTAACTACAAGTTACTATATACAACAGTTGGTGTAGCAGTTTATAGCTGCTGAACCAGCTATCTTCGCGTTTGGACTTTATCACCACTTAACATCATACAGGTGGGGTATAGTCATTTGCCTACCTCGCTATAAAAAAATCATTCAAAGAGCGAGACACGACTGTGAGTCCGGGTAAAGAGCGAGACACGACTGTGAGTCCGGGTCGCTTGGTAATAGACTGCCTTTTTTCTTACAAACGGCAGAGCTTTATTGTTGCCCTTGTCTTGATAAGAAATGGCTAATAAGTAAATAACATTCATGACAGTCCGTGATTTTTGGGGAAAAATGTTTTTATAGTTTTACCAATGTAGTGTTGCAGTGGAATTGTTTATTTGATCTTCAACTACATATTTGTTTTTTTTTTAAAGCATCGGCGATTTTGTTTTATCTTCACAACACAGAATATACGCAATATTGTGATTATGAGTGCACATGTAGCGTGTTTGGATGTTAAATTGTGACTAAAGCTAATTGTGTTCATGCGCCACAATTTAAGCGGTACACTTTAGAGCCGCGAGTGCCATATCTTCCATTATTGTTTTAATCAAAGATATTTAATCATAATACACGCAGGATTCCTTGTCAATTAAAATTATGATCATTGTGTGAATTTGTAATAATCATGTGAATAAGCATTTTAATAAAATAACACTATTATGGAATTGCATTTTATTGATCTCTTTGTTATTCAATTCAATACATGTCAAATAATTAATCTTCATCACAATATTATTAAACATAGTCCCCCATATTAATAAGCGAAGAATAAGCTTGGATTTGTTACTCCATGTTTTGTCTCTGTTCATTGAATGATAAAAGGCATTTGAGTGATAGGAACAAAACATGGTGTAACTAGTCAAAGCTTATTCCGCGTTTATTAATAAGGAGGAACGAGCGCAGGATTAGTCAAACGATGTGTAAACTGCCTCAAATCTGAATTTTTCGTGTGCATATTGAAATTGACGGTCCGTCCATTAATTACCGTAAAATGGGGTGTATAGAATTAAAGGGGTGAATATAGACTAAACCAAAAAAGTTTCAAAACTCCGATTATGTATATTCTCTGGTGTATGCTATGGTATACTAGTCTACAAACTCAAGAAAAAAAAACTTTCGGCAAATTCGTAGTAATAGTACAGGATCCCAATACCGCCAGAACTTTCTTATTTTGTCATGGACAAAATATGGATAATAATTAATGATTATGAACGTACATACTCGCTAACTTGTGCTGTGGGCTAATTTTCAGGTATCAGGTTGCCACCTGAGAACCACCAGGCACGTAAAAAGCCTTTGTTCCCAACGAGTCACACTGTAACCTGTAACATTGTGACTCGTTGGGAAAACTTTGTAAAATAATTCCCAACTAGTCACACTGTAACACGTTGGGAGATCTACCTTAAATAATTCCCAACCAGTCACACCACACTGTGACACGCTGATAGACCTTTCTTAAACCATTCCCAACCAGTCACACTCTGACTCGTTAGGCCAGGCAGCTATCTCTGAAGTGCTTTGTGATGAATCCGGTTCCACAATAGCCTTTAATTCTTCATTTTGCACTTTGGCCTCCGGCCGTCCACGGCGTTGGTTCTGAAGGTCGAGATTTCCAAATCGAAAACGTTGAAACCAAAAACGTACCGTGCTTTCTTTTGCGACACCAGCGCCGTACACATCATTAATCCTTCGAGCTGTTTCTGCAGCACTGGTACCACGGTAGAACTCGTACTCGTAAATATACCAATATTTCATATTTTCCATTGGGCGGTAATAAGCGACGCCAAAGAAAAATATAATGAGGAAAAAACCAAATGAGAGACTGTTTTCAAAACTCAAATGTCAAAGAGAAGATTTCAGATCAAAGTGGTCAGTACGACAAAACGCTAATTTCAAATGTAAGGAGCTAATATTTCAATAGCCTGTAATTAAGCACCAAACACGAATTTATCGTAAGCAATAAGAGGAAAAAAGGTTGCCTTCCTTTTATTACAGCAAAAGTAGCAGTGTAGCTGATTATTTAGTGAAATTAGGACTAAGACGTAACATACACCTCAGACATACATACAGACGTAACATAACCAACACTTAAGAGTAGATTGGTCTAACGATTCACAGTGTGACTGGTTGGGAATAATTTCGAAAGGGTCGCCCAACATGTCACATGTGTGTCTGGTTGGGAATTATTTTACAAAGTTCTCCCAACGAGTCACAGTGTAACAGGTTACAGTGTGACTCGTTGGGAACAAAGGGTAAAAAGTTTACTCACTTCACTTTACACTGAGGAATGATTCCTACGTATGTTGTGGAAAATATTGTAAACAATTTTTAATTAATACTGCCAGACTCATTTGTCAGCAGTTTTTTTTGCCAGACACATTAAATTTCGAAAGCAACACAACATTACTTAACTTTTGCAATAACAGTGTAAACTCCATGTACTCCGTCACTCGATTTAACGACAAACTCCTTAAAGTGTCGTAATCACTCGTCTTCGGTTGGTTTAGTTTGTTTGACATACAATGATACACTCCATATAGCATTACACCCACTCTCAATAACGACAACAATTAAGTAATAATAAAGTACTATAGAGTTCTACCCAGAAGGGATAGAACCTGGGAGCGTAGACGTTAATTGAAAGAAGATGATAGAGATAAATTATTTATTTTGTTTTATCATTCAGGCTAATATAAAAGTATTTTATCTAAATACGAGAGGAAATTCTTGGTGCCTGAAGATCTAATCTTGAATGGAACCTTCTATCAAAAGACAGACGATTCCTTATTTCAAATCTTAAAATCATGACATTATCTTTTTAATATAACTGCCAACCGTAGGCATTGCAAAAGCAAAGAGTTTACCTAAACAAGGAGGCTGCAACGTTAAGGACGTTACATCCCTCCGGCACCTCTAAAAAAAAAATTGTTTTGTCATACCAGATGACCGAACAAAATTTTTTTTTCCTACCTACTACATCGAGAGGGTTCGACGGTCCTATCTAAAATCCCTACCTGCTTAAGGATATAAATACAACTGGGAGGTGGCCTTTACTACAGACTAGCCCTCACAATAAGTTTGCAAAACTTGCAAAAAAAAAAATTTTACGGGAAAAGAACCCTAACTATTTGCAAAGACTTTACGGGAGCAAAACCTTAACAAAATCCCTCGTACATCTCCCTCCTAACCTTAACTTTACTTTACTTTACATCGACATCAGTCGGCAAAAACAAAGCTAACCCTAGCTATACCTTAAATTACCCAAGCAATTTTTATTTTATCCCATCTATCAGCAAAACTTTACCCTATCCCATTTATTAAACCATTAAATATCAAGAAAATTTATATTTTGAAACTTCATTACTTCCCATACTAAGTAGATGTACGAAATGAAATTCAAACTATTTCCTAAGATTCGTAAACATTGAACTGGATTTGAGCAAAACCTAAAAGAATTTATAATTAATGTTTACTTTCGTACATCTTTAATAAAGATACAGACGTGGTACTAAAAATAAACCATACAGGTTACGCACGGTGCCATACAAGGGAGCGTGCGGTAAATATTTTACAGCGGTATGGCGCGTAATATTTGAACTTACGAACAATGTGTACAACCTCCGCTAATGCTTATTTTGAGCAAATGTGTTATAAAAAAGTACATAATGTTTTACAATAACTGTATTGTATTTTAAAAAAATATATGTATAAAAAATATTATATGAATACTGAAATAACGAAATCATTGCGCTCACTTTATTAGTTCATGACGTTTCTGTTAATATCACACTTTTTAAAGGTTAATTTAATTTAATAATGAAGTCTCATATTTTCAAATAAGAAGGATAAACTTTACTAAAAATGGCCAAAAAAATAGTTACGGCTCAAAACGTGTTATAGCTTTATAAGTTATACAAACTTGAATTAAATTTAATTTAATAAAAGCAAATCTTACTTACCAAGAATACATACCAAATATGCCTTAGTTTAAGTCCATAAAATCTTTGCAATGTGATCGCGCTATAAGTTTAATCTTCGAACCATCCTATTAACTACATCGTTGTATTTATTCAATCATGTTTGTTTATTGTTCATTGTAGCATTATTTAAATGGTATGGCTCGAAGGACCAATTTTAAAAATAATTCATTTTAATATAACTGCCAACCGTAGGCATATAGAGTTTTCCTCTCGTATTTAGATAAAATACTTTTATATTAGCCTGAATGATAAAACAAAATAAATAATTTATCTCTATCAATATCTTTCAATTAACGTCTACGCTCCCAGGTTCTATCCCTTCTGGGTAGAACTCTATATGGTGGAGGCGCCGCGTTAGCTTCAAGTACCGCGAGTGAAAAATAATTTTAAATCAAGAAAGAAGTAGTTTTATGAAGATGGAGACCAGGACCACATTCGACGGAAAAGGTGATGTAACTGATTTCTTTCGTCAATTTAATATCATCACCGCCATCAATAATTTCAACGAGGAAGAAGCAAATGAAGAAATTTTTTTATGAAGAAGATTCAATGAAGATGGCTGATAAAGAAATTCACCATTCACAGCCGTCAGAAAACAACAGTCAGTATACAAGTGAGTCCAAACCATTAATTAATATAAGGTGTCGTGACAAGGAGTTTGTAGGGCTCATTGATAGTGGTGCTGCAGTGTCTGTGGTGTCGAAGGACACAGTTAATAGAATTCATCAACGAATTGATGAAAGCGATATGAAGTTGAAAGCTGTCGATGGTAAAGAATTGTCTGTTATAGGGAAAGTTAACCTTAAATTATTGATAGACAATGTGTTATTCATTCATGATTTTCTTGTGGTAGAGGATATTAGGCATAACCTCATCTTAGGACAGGATTTCTTACTTCGAAATAATGCGATAGTAGACTTTTATAATGAACAATTAATAATCAAACATATTAAGTGCAAGTTTAAAAGACAATATATACAAAAGAATAATGAAAGGAATAGTGATAATTCGGTGTATGATAAAAATTTATATTATGCCGAATAGGTTGATAGTATTATAATATTGTGTTACTAATGAGATTTTATTTCAGTTTGTTTATATGAATGTTTTAAAGTAATGGTGGTATGTAAATAAGGTTCAATACAATAGTCATTTTAGAATTTTATTTCAAAAGCATATTAAATATAACTTTGTCATTTTATTAGAAATTTTTTTCAATACACATATTATAAGGAACTTTTACACATTTTGTTTATGAACAGATCCTTCTATCGAAAATACAATAGGCAACCAAAATCAGCAACTATCTAACCAACCATGTCGACATCATCTGCAAGGCAAGATTTAAAACGCAAAGCCGAGGATGTAATTGTAGATCCTGACACACTCCAAAAGATAGAGAACGCGAAGAGGGCCAAAATCGACTTGGATGCAAGCAGAAAATATGCATGCTTGAAGTCAATAGTTGAGATGTATAAAGAGTTGTTAGCAAAGGCATTCGAGGGTCCAAGAGCCACAGACACAGGACCTCAGCAAATGGAAACGGACTCCGTTCAAAGCGCTGTCAGTTCAGAGTGCCCCAAATACAATATTACAGTGGGCAATCACATTACTAGCATTATCTTCACTGTTCACAACGTCTGTAGACAGAAGGTAAAAGCTACAGAGACTAATATGATAAAGAAAACAGAGAGTACCTCCTTCAAAATACATTATAAAGGGGGTGATCACCCAGTTGATAATAAGTGGGTTATTGACAAGTGGATTTTAATCACAAAAAAGAATAAGTTGGAGTACAAGAACTTCGACCAAGGAGACAAGGAAAACTGGTATGGGACCATGGGACCGTATTTGGATATGTTAGCTGCTTATCCCTTACGTACAAATGAGCTCCGACTTGGACACAATAATATGCCTATAACTAAAACTGAGGGAGTTCATAAAAGCTTCCCAGTATCCAAATACGGTCTCTCTGGGGCCCACCATGTCCTCCTTGAGGGAACTTCCTTTCCGCCTGAAAGAAGGTCGTCAATAGTACAGAGCCTGGGGCCCATGACTGCGTGGTTGTGCATGTTACGTAGCGACGGAATGTACAGAAACAAGTACGCAGCTGCGGTAAAGCGGGCTATGTCTCATGTGCCTTGTATTGATGATATGATCGAGCTCACGAAACATACAAGACAAGCTTCTGAAATATCAGCATTGACGACTTTAATTGCAGAAATATTACTTATTACAACATCCAGACAAGCTACACGCATGTTCTTCCCCTTAACCATATTCAGTCATGTATGGGAAAAACATGAGAACCCTAGGCAGTTTTGCGACTTTTTCAGTACTACGGGCGCTGGGGGGTGGTATACTTATAAGAAAGCCACGGCCGAGTCACAAGAATTTTACATATGCGGAAAATTGGAGGTAGAAAAAGCGTCTCAGATCGTGTTCCACAGCATATTCGGGACATATAAAGAGGATTTGTCGATTCTTGGCCAAATAACCTCCATAAATAGGTGGTATACTCGAGAGGAGATGGGCACTTGCTTTAGGCAACAGGGGAGCACCGAGCATGTCACGAAGATTGAATTACCCGGCGCCTCCACCATATAGAGTTCTACCCAGAAGGGATAGAACCTGGGAGCGTAGACGTTAATTGAAAGAAGATGATAGAGATAAATTATTTATTTTGTTTTATCATTCAGGCTAATATAAAAGTATTTTATCTAAATACGAGAGGAAATTCTTGGTGCCTGAAGATCTAATCTTGAATGGAACCTTCTATCAAAAGACAGACGATTCCTTATTTCAAATCTTAAAATCATGACATTATCTTTTTAATATAACTGCCAACCGTAGGCATTGCAAAAGCAAAGAGTTTACCTAAACAAGGAGGCTGCAACGTTAAGGACGTTACAGTACCTTGTAAATTGCCAAAATTAGTGAAAATCCCTCAGCTGTGTACGTTCTTTTATCGCTTTATTATCCTAGCTCGTAATAAACTCGACTGTCAGCATCATGCAAACCCAACTTTCTAAGAAATTCGTTCTTTTGTTTACATTTACAAATTGGCATTGCACGTGTAGACTGTTTTTGTCCATGCTAATAAGTAGGTGCCCTGGACTTAATACGTTATCATATTCTTAATTGCTCACAAACTTTCCTTTCCTCAAACATGGCTAGTAAAAGAAAATCACTGAGTATTGACGAAAAGTTTTACTGATACGTGCAATAGAAATGGGAGAAGATAAGTGATGATGGCAGACGCTTTACGTGACCACAGTATGGAAAAATTAAAGAAAAAAATCTCCAAGCAGAGATGGAGGGGAAATCTTCCAAAAAATTAAAGAAACCTAAATACGAAGATTTGGATCAAGGCGGAAAAGGACACAAGGGCGGATCCAGAGGGGGGGGGGGGGGGGTCTTGACCCCCACCCTCCCTGGGCTGGGTCCATCTGTGCCCACTGTGACTAAATGACCCCCCCCTGGCGCCAAAGCTGGATCCGCCCTTGAAAGGACATGGCTAAGAAACTGTCCCTAACGTGTATAATTATTTCGCACTAGCCCAAAACATTATTATATTAATTTTAACGTGTTCATTATTCTGATACAACTTTCGTGAAATAATCAAATCATAAAAGTATAAAAATTGACATCATGTCTGTTTCAAAAATAAAATGTTCCGTTTTACAAAAATAAATGTGCAAAAAAAATATTTGTGTAACTATATCGAAATAAACAATATTAATTTCAATCTTCTAAAAACTGTGACATATAATTTTTATTATGAGAAATCACTGAAGGCATAAAATAATAGACTATTTTTCTGATCAGGCTGTAGACAAGACTGTATGATAATTAATCCTTTGATTTTTGTAAATGAACGAAATAAAACTTCACAGATTTCCTGTCAGGCCGACAACAACAAATTATTTGGATGTATTTTTGCTTTAAAAATAATTTCACAAAAGTCGCGGGCGGCCACTATTCATAGATAAATATTAGGTCTCAGACTCTAAGGATTGTGTTCCTTGCTTTCGGAATTAAAATTGTCTGGCAGCTCACCCCCCAAGTCCAGCGTGCGTAAAGAAATTACACTTCAAAAAGAAATAACGAAGATAAAATAAATTATAGTTTTTTGTTAAACAATTCACAATACAAGTGCACTAAATCTCATAAAAATTTGGAGTCTGCCGAAGACTCACTACCACCCTCCCTACAAATTTGAACCATATCGGTTGTATTAAAAACACGTTTTAAGTTGAGATTCGTTTCTATCGACCCCATTTTACGAGAGTCTACCTTCACAGCGGAAGATTTTAACAGCTAACAAAGCCAATTCTCTTATTCAAATTACCTGACAGCTCACTCTCATTTACGCGTTTTAACGAATTGAATTTAGATAAGGATCAAGTTACAAATTCCTACATACACGTAGGTACCTGGAACTCTGGCTCTCCTCAGCGTCCAATTGTAAATATTTCATATTACGACGTAGGATATTCTGTAAATACAAATAATTATAATCTTATCTAAACCACAGTCATTAATGGGGATTGAGTAGGTAGGTAACAAATTTCAACACGCACATCGCTATGACTGCCTATGCCTACTCTTTCCAGCATTAAGTTGCGATAATGTTTTCTCATTCAACCAACTAATCCCAATCTTAATATCAAAATTATTAGGTATAATTGTGTCGCAATCAACCGAAACTTAAGACTGTTTTAACTTTTCCTGTAACTTCTTAGAATTGGATATATGATGTCTAATGCTTCATAAACTTCATTTCTTGTTTTTCCACCTGAAATAGGAATAATAGTTGAAAAAATAATAGGGGTAGTTAAGGCCACCCAACAAAGAGCCACTTTTCAATATAAAATATTGCTTAGAGTTTGTCTAATGAGAGACAAATTAAAAAATTCTGTAGCTGTCATAGATATACCTTGTACAGAATGTCAGAGTATCTTAAGTCAACCTTAACAAAAGTACTTAAGGTTTCTATTAGATTTAAAAAAATTGAAAAACCAAGTTTTTGGATGGCGGCAGTAGAATATCAAAGTACACCGTGACCGTATTTAATGAAGTATATTGTTTAAATAATAGTTATATAGGAAACATCTTAAGTTTACTTTTTAATTCTTGCTACCTTTACTACGATACGAATTACTTTGGGTGTTAAAATGTAAAAATAGAGTTTTTTTTTATATTGTTTATTTTTTATGACCCTTATCCTCAGAATTGTATGTTAATCATATACTGATCTTTTGTGATTACGAATCGTATCTTATTTTCATTCAATTTGTTTTTATTTATATTTTTAAGCATTTAACTGCTAGATGATTAAATGTAAATAAAATTTTATTAGAACAAATTCCACGCGGACCAGGCAACTCGAACTAACACCCTTCACTATCCGGGGGAATGAGCAGCAGTGTTTGGCCGTAATGAAATATATTGAAACTGCACTTGTGTAATGGGATTTATTATGTTTTTCTAATAAATGATAAATCGTTGAACATACTGTTATCCTATTTATTGTTTTATTTCAAAATAAAAACGATCGCGGTGAAGTATCTTTCATAATGTCAAAGACCGTTGGTAGTGTTTCTCATTATACGACCAACATTGTATATAGATGGTCGTAACTAATTTAAATAAACTCGTAGATACATACCTGTCAAAACAATTTTGCCATTAACAAATATCAATAGAACTACTCTGGGTCTAACCATCCTATATACTAAACCAGGAAATAGTTCTGGTTCATAAGATGTGAATTGTCCATGAGCTTGTTGAAGTGCTTCTAATCTTACTGGAAATCGCAAATCTGCAGATGCAATAAAGTTCTGGATTTTGAAATCTAAAAATTTTGCCTGAAACAACAACAAATAAGAATATTAAATATGAATTGAATTTGAAAGAATACATTACTATGTAACGTTGTACGCTATTTATACATATTTAGATACACATATAAAACAAAGTCGTGTTAGTTCGAACACTTTATAATCTAGAACGGCTGGACCGATTTATGAGTTCTAAATTTTTTGGATTCGTCTCTGCCCCGAATAGCAGAATTACTAACTAAATAATGTAAAAATCACAACAAAGAATTCCCAGTAAATTAATTTTCAAACATAATTAGGTTCAGTAGTATTCATTTACTTTTATATTGTTATTACGAACGCAAAAAGAGCGCGAGGCATTTGAAAACCTGCGGTCGGAAATGACAAAATGTTCGCTACGCCTGCACCTTGCACGAGGTTGACATTCAGGCACTGCGTACCTCACGATTCGTATCCTTCTTCAACTTCCTGCAATGGAATTCTCTTCCTGTGTCGTTATTACCCGATACATATAATATAGGATTTTTCAAGGCAACAGTAAATAAATAGGTAATATTTGAGTCTGTGTGCTCCAGCTTGGACCACAATACCAGATCGTTGCTTAAAGTCGGGTACTCATTAGCGAGCTTAACCGTTGCATGCATTGTAACCAAAAAGCATAGTGTGTACTTTGTTCGCTAACCTGCTGCGAGCGGTACGCGTGCGGTTTGCAGCGAGCCGACGTTTACGACTGAGCTACAAGCGTACACACTAGAACCTCGTATTGTATCACGCATGTTACGGTTACAGCTCGTAACCGTTGCATGCACTGTAACCAAAAAGCACAGTGTGTACGTGGTTCGCTAACCTGCTGGGAGCGGTACGCGTGCGGTTTGCAGCGAGCCGACGTTTACAACTGAGCAACAAGCGTACACCCTAGAACATCGTACTGTATCACGCATGTTACGGTTACAGCTCGCTAATGAGGCTGCTTAATATCAGGTGTAATTGTGGTCAAACGCAACGCAAACCAAATATTTCTGCTTTCCGCAATCTCGACTAAATTCACTGGGTGATTCCAATCCCAACTGAGTCAGAAGCACTACAAGTGTAAAGCTTCATGTACCAAAAATTCATACTTTTTGACACCGTTAGTTTATGTATACATATATGAACTTTCCTTACTTTATACTTTTTTTATAAATTTCTCAGTATTATTTTCAAACCGCTTTACTTTGCTATAAACTTTGTTCACTGCGAAAAGAAAATCTAAATTCATAATAATATTGCAGTCTCGTTCACTTTAAATGTTATATAAAGCAAAAGAGATTGCACTTCACAGCGACATGACAGCTGCTTCAGTGTTTTCCAAAAAATATCTGATCTCTGTTTTTAGGGTTCCGTAGCCAAATTGCTACGGAACCCTTCATGGCGAATTGGACTCGCACTTGGCCGCTTTTTTTGATAAGTAAATTACGATAATTCGAACGATCCATCCAGAATCGAGTATTAAATGCAACGATATTTAAAATACAACAACACGAACAAAATCTTGCCTGAAACCTCCCTGAATCCTATTTCGCATATAAATGTAAAAGTTTGTATGTTTGTTACTTAATCTTGTCTAATGTTATATAGAATAGAGAATTGTTCCTCCGACAGATCGGTGTAGCAAACGTCAGCGTAGTCGATGATGGACAACCAGAGAGAATTTCCCAAGTTGATTTTGGTACTGATCGACAAAAAGTTCAACGAATAATGGATCCATACACAGCAAGCAGTAATGAGTCATAGTAACGAAAGTTGGTAATACAAACTACCACTCTCAGCACAGGGCTGCTAGGGATACTGCCAGGGGAAGGAATGGAACATTAATATAAAGAGAGAGATAGGGGAATGGAGGCGGATGCAAAGTTGAAAGAGAAGTATTGAGAGAAAGGAGGTTAATCAAAGAAGGAAGCTTAGATAATTATGATATAGAATCTAGAATCAGAAATAATATATGATCTAGTAGAAGAAAAATGAGAGTGTGAAGAAAGAGTCATATTTTATAACGCATGCAACTATTTGATCAGGTAAGCAAGTCAAATGAGTGGAATGAGGACTTTGGTTACTTTACTTTACATGGGGGGAGGGGGGCTTAGATTCTCCCGGCAGTGATAATATCGTAATCGAGACGGTTACATATGAAGGAAACTTGTGAGACTTGAAAAAGCTTAGAGGAACAAACTGTACCTGAAGTTTCTAATTGTGCCACAGTTACCCTACTATATTAAAAAAGGCAATAAAACTTACATAAACAACTATCAGCCTATTAGTTTCCACTCATATCTGTACAAACTTTTTACAAAAAACATAACTCTGCGCCTTACCATAAAATTGGACTCGTATCATTCAATAAAGCAAGGTGGCTTCGGGGGCGGATGCACCACGTTGTACCAAGTATTGTCAATGAGAATTCTTGTATAAAAGACGACTGAATATCAAATGCCTCTGTGGTTAGTCTTCATAGACTATAAAAAGCATTTGACAGCGTCGAAATATGGTCAGTCTTAGAATCATTAATGACAATATTCACGTATAAACTATCGAAATACTACTCCGATCGAGAATATGTATGAAAAAAACACAATGACTTTGGTGCTAGAGGATATATTAAGAAGCCTGAACTGGGAAGTCTGCGGCTTGAATATGCTGGATATGGTATGGTATGTAGCATAAGCAATTTACGTTTTGCCGATGACATTGTTTTATTAGCAAATGACCCAGAGGAACTTCAAGGTATGGTAAAAGATCTCAACGATGCTTCTATCCGATGCGGCTTGAAATACAAATTCCAACGCAGTCATTCTAGTTGATCATACTGCCACCGAAAGAGTGGAAAAAACGTGTATTTAGGCAGAAGATAGAGACTGGGAAGAAGAACCACGGATACGAAATCAACAGACGCGTCCGATTATTGGCCTGGATAGCCTATTCCTGTGTCGAGTTTGCCTTCAAAATGAATCTCAAGGCCGAACAAAAAGCGCGCATATTTGACCAATTTATATTATTCTGCCAGTTCTCACTTTTGGTGCTGAAACCTGGGCCTTCACCAAGGAGATACGTCCTTCAGGAAGACCTCAGTTGCGATGAGACGATGACCTTAAAGGAACAGCAGGGAAAAATTGGCTTCTGGTCACACAAAATCGTGACAGATGGTGTAATTTGAAAGAGGCCCACACCCAAAAGGCTGAAAGAGAGAGTCTGCGCAAAAGTTCGTCTTTGGTAGTATTCAAATTTTTTTCCTCGAAGTGATTCACATCACCCAACAATTAGGATAAAGAAAAACGCTTTTTAATGCAACACTTGTAACTTTTCAAACCTCTTCTCAATTTTACTTTCATGTGAATGGTAATTGTATCCCACATTTTATATCTTGGAGTTTAATTTTTACATCCTTTTACGACACAATTCGGCATGTTTACTTCTAAAGGTTGCTTTTTTTGCTCAACGCGCCGCCATTGCTCGACTGATATATTACGGCTTGGTTTCGTTGTACCTGTGTACGTACAAGTCATGGCTTGGCAACGTGGCAACGATTAACGTTGCCACGTTGTTTGCAGCGCTTCATCTTTAATTTTTATTTGATCTGAGGGCACTAAACGACGCGCAAAAAAAGCTAGGTGTAGAGGTAGGTCATTAAGTACCCGCCAGTATAGTCTGTACCAAACGAATTTAGACCAAACATAAACAAAGAGGTGGTTAGTCTGACCATAGACAGTTTAGTGATGAGAATTCATGAGCCTTATCAAAATCAATTAATCAATTGAATGATCATATTCTTAGAAATTTTTAAAGATCTTATAAGGCTTAATTTGTAGCATTAATAAATTGTTATAGTCTACTCAAAAAGAGCTTTAGCTGTTAACAGTATTTAGCAAATACAGTTAACTATATTTCGTTATTTTATAAATTAAAATTCAGAACGATAAATTAGATAAATTCAGAATTGAATATCAAGGTTTGTCGGCTAACAAGTTCGCAGTATCATCCTGTTTAAACGTCCTGCATTCACTTCAGTTACTTCGTTCAACAGAAGTCAACTTTTACCTTTATTATATAAACGTGAATAATTATATTTATTTAAAAAAAAGAATAATGGTAGTTAGCCTACCATTAAGGGCTTATATTTTTTCATATCTTACAGCAACAAAATATGCCGTTCATCTGATATCTCTAACTGCTTTTGCCTCCGAGATATCGCTGTGGTTTCGCTAGCGTAACAGGCGTTTTTCGGAGAAATCTTGGAGCAACAAAATCAATTCTTGCGGCACAAAATAGCAACAAAATACTATATACCTTAGGATATGGACTTATGAAATTGTTACGCTAGGGTAATATACCTATATGTGTGTACAGTTTCATGTTATGATTTAGAACCCAAATAACGTTATTCTTCAAAGCTGCTGTTTCAATCGAATATATTACAGTAACAATGCAATTTGCACTATTCAAAAATATATGTCAGTATACTCCCAAACCTAACGGTCTGAGTAGCGAATGGCCTTTTCGAATTCATCGACTTATCCACTTTTCTTTCTGACGTTATTATTTAGGTATCGTTTAAAAAAACGTTTATGAAAAGTAGGATAACAACATTAATAAAACATATTGATTTGATTACTTTTTGCTTGGGTTGTCGATACAATTTCCTTGTTTGACAAACTGAATAATATATTCATATGAATAAAACAAACTTAAATGACCCTTTTTTGTTAATATTCAAGTGTCATTGAATTTTTATAAAAAAATCTACTTGATGTTTGAACGCTAGGCTGATCTGGATATTTCGACTTTATTACAATGTCAATATTCTAACGAAATTTCAAGGGAATGTGTCCCAAATTACATCACCTAACTGTACTTGGCTGATCACTTAGCATGTTTAACATTCCTTAATTATCAGTATGATTCTGTATCGGAGCCAACATTAATAATTAATGGGGTCGTGTTCCGTCCAATGACATCATTTCATCTTTTTTAATAACGTGGTGTATATGTCGTGGCCATATCGTAGATTTGCTCACTTCATGAAATGCTCGAGAATTTCATGAAATGGTCACATTTCATGATATGGGCAACTTAATTTGACCAGATCATTAAATCGTCAACATTTAACGATTTTGTCATCGACATTTGGCCGGATCGTATAATAAGGGTGTCCATAAAATATTTATTAAAAATCCAGAATATGTAAGAACATGTTTATTGTCATTTGGGTCGTTGACGACCTCCGTGGTCGAGTGGTTTGTACGCCGGGTTTCATGGTGTCGCCGACTCGAGAGGTCCCGGGTTCGAGTCCCGGTGGAGGTAGATTTTTGTGTGAATTATATAAAAGTATATTTATATAGAGTACAAATGCTCGTATTCAGCATTTGTACTCTATATAAATATACTTATATATGTACTGTATATGTATTCTATCCGTTACCCTAGTATCCCATAACACAAGCCTTGCAGGGCTTTCTTTGGGGCTAGGCTAATTGGTGTAAGTGTTGGAAATATTTATTTAAGTCCGAATGACACAAACAAATTTAATCAAATTAATGAAACAAACAAATTAAAGACTATTTTCTAAATTAAACATCAAACATGTAAAGAACTTACACATTTATATTTAGAAAACTAACAAATATTTATAAATAAGAAGGTACTTTGGTACATATTACAATAGTAGGCTAAACTGTACTTCCAGGGCCCAAACGGTAATACTTCACACTAGGTTAGGTTAGTGCTGTGATCATAACGCACGAGCAAAGCGAGTGTGCCGCGGCAGCGGCCGGCGAAGCGCCAGAATAAACTCTCCTTAATTTGTTTCGTCGAAAACCCTTTTGTTATTACTTTCTTCCTTATTTAATAACGAATTATGCACTTTTTCACTGCGAGAAACAACATTGTCGGAATTGGCCGCCATATACATGTATAAACAAAGCGCTTGCAGCGCCTCTACCGGTAATTAATGTAACTACTTTACAATATGATCAAATAATTTTTGCCATTACATGAAGTAGCCGCGCGTTTGGTTGGCCATTTCGTGAAACGATTTCTCATCATTGATCTGCCCAAACCACGTCATGATGTGCCCAATAGATAGTGAAACATTTCATGAAATGCGACCATTTCATTCAAACACTAAATAATGAGGAATTAAGAGGTAAAGTGTTTGTTTACTAAGCAACTTTCAACTGATCAAAGGCCCAAGCACGAACTTTGACAGATTCGTAAAATTTAACGATGACGATACGATTATCGTCAACAATATTAAAATAGGTACTCACAGGGAATCCCAGTCTTTGAATTATTCTTGCAATTTTTCTGGCTGCAATATAAGAATCGTGTTCAGTCCTTGCTCCAGTAAAAACAATTTTCCCAGACCTGTTAACAAAGTATAATTAAGCTGCGAACGGATAGCGAGTTCCGCAACACGCGTAGTAGATTACGCGTGTCCTCTAAGTATAAGTATTACGCTACGCTATGTGTATAAGTATTTATTTTGCATTTTTTCTCGGAGCTCAGCGTCTTGTTGACTTTTCAACGGTCCGCGCGTGACTGTGAACCAAGAAGTGCTTGAGTCGTGTTCAAGCACTTCTTGATAGGGACACATTTTGAGCGCACGTGGTGTACCGGTATTTAATATCGTTGGGGTGCACAACAGAATGCATCCGTCCTCTCATATGCGCATAATGCAGTAGTATTTACTAAGGCAGAGCTGCTTCATCTCGTTCTCAGAGATTGATCGCATCAGATAAAGCCTGTAAGGCCCTTTTGGTCATAGGCATCCCCCCACGTATGTGTTTTAGTCAGTAAAAGGCTTGCATAATCCTACAGCCGGGCATCCATGAGGAAACAAAAAAAACAATTACTGTACTTTATAATCGCAGTCACATTATATCATTTATCGCCAAAACCACACGGCAAGCATGGCGAATTGACGACCCTGCCAGTACTGGCCATCGGCAGCGCTGAGCAGATGGTTAGGAAATAATTTGTGTTACAAATAGCCGAATTTAAGTGACCTTAAATAATAAATAGTGGTGATTAATAAATATAAGATCATGTGAAGTGAAAACATAAAATAAAACCATAGACAGAAAACACTGGATTTAAAAAAATAAGTCATTAAACTTAAATTGAATTTAAGTGGACTTAATAATAACATTAATATAATGATATTATGTACTTCTTAGCATTTTTCACTATAGTAAAAAAGTGTATATTTAATTCCCAAATAAAAACAAACAACAAAAATGCGAGTATTAATATTGCTGCTGGATATTCCCACCCTATGCAACTGAGGTTGATGACGATGATGATTGAAAGAACATGGCGCCGGGAGATGTTGGTGTCTGATTAGGTAGGGAGATTATAGTAATTTGATTACAGTAAATTGGTCAAAAAAATATGTGAAATAAGGGAAAAATGTGTGTACCTAGAAAAAGTATTTTAATTTTTTTATTGAAGTGTAATGTATAGATTACTACTTTTTGATAGATGTGCCGCTGGCTACGAGATATGGTGTACCAGCACGACAGGTGCCCAGCCCCTCTAGCATGACCACTGAAACGGGATATGTTAAAGCGATATATCGGCATTAACTGTCAGACTACAGTGGAGTTTGACAGTAGTCTGTCAGTTAATGCCGATATATCGCTTTATCATATCCCGTTTCGGTGGTCATGCTAGAGGGGCAGCACACTATTGCCGAGGTGTGCGACAATGGCTGGATGACAATTATGATGAGATGGATCGGTCAAGGTGGCCCGACGCCATGCGAGTTTTATCTTTGGGGTCACATGAAGGATTTAGTATATGTTACACCAGTGACATCCATTGAAGAGTTGAGGGAGAGGATATTGCCGAACAAATAAAAACCTTTTCCACCACTTTCAACGCGACAGTGAGTGAAGTACGTCGTAGGCTCCAGGCTTGCATGCGAAATAATGGTAGGCAGTTTGAATAGGATTTGTATTTTTAAGGTATTTTTTTAAAAACCACATTTAACTTTATCAAACAATATTGAATTTTATTCACAGTGTAGAGAAACACTATTGACTTTACAATCTGAATTCAATTTACAAATCAAAATGTAGAAGTCTGCCCTACAGCGCCCTTTTGCTGATTTTAATAATAATAGCTAATAAACTTAATAACTTTTGTACCTTGTTGGAAAGCTTATGAAACTACTTTGTCATTTTACTAATTTGTACGCCAAATTCAATAAAATTATTTTCCAATAATTTACGGCGAAGTTCGGTTCGGTGAAATATGTACATAAAATAAAAATGACTGTTACTAAAGTACTTTTATTTTCTGAGATTGTGTAAGTGGGCAAGCGTTTTTTTAAACGATCACTTATTTCAGCTTTCTGAAAAGTAAAAACTCAATTTTTAGAGTGGAATAATTTATTCACAAATAATGGTTTTAGCAGCAAGTCGAAAAAATCAAAAAAATCGAAGTCTCGTCACAACTCGGTACCCATCTAGTTTTGACCCCTAGTTTACTGGACTTAATTTGTTGCTAATGACCTCTAGGATAACCCCTTTCAAGGAATAGGTCGTAGTAAAGCACAAAAGAATAAATGAAGTACCATAATAGTCCAGGAAATGAAGCTAAAAAAATGGTAAAACCTCGCTTTTTTTTTCGTCCAGCACCGATTTGTACAAAAATTTGAGATTAGGCTTACTTCACCCTCTAGTTCATTTTCTATATTGTGCCGTTACCGCTTTTTGTTTTAAGGGGTTAAAACTACCCCTTATTATCAAAAATTATATAATAAAAATTAAAAACCTAAATATGAGTAAAAATAGTTAAAAAAATGATTGTTTCATGCTTTAGGATACAATATCATAATCAACATACTCTTGTTAAAAACTACTCTCAAAAACATTGTAATTTTATTTCTAAAAAAAAATGATCGGTTTTTTAAAGATAGCTCCTTCATTTTAGGCGATAGATTTTTTTTTGAGAAACGTTTTTGTAAAGCTTTTCAGGAGCTATAAGACTATGTGAATTAAATTACTTAATCCCTCGTCTCTCTATTAGATCCCTTAATTTTTAAATGGAGAGAGTTTAAAGCGCTTGAATAAGGTGATGTTCTCCCCATTTAAAAATTAAGGGATCTAATAGAGAGTGGATATTTTAATAGAGATTTTAATTTGATTTTATATTTTTTGATAATAAGGGGTAGTTTTCACTCCTAAAAAACAAAAAGCGTGCAACTGCACAATATAGAAAATGAACTAGAGGGTGAAATAAGCCTAATCCTAAATTTTTGTACAAATCGGTGCTGGACGAAAAAATTGCGAGGTTTCACCATTTTTTTAGCTTCATTTCCTGGACTACAAAGATGAATAAAATGAAATTTGAAGCCATTTTGTTATCAGGAAAAGGACAACAATACAGCACAGCCGTACGGACTCGGATGCGGACTCCCCGTTTAGCTCGCGCTGCGTTATAGCGTACAGTTCTGTCTCGCTCGCTCGATTGAATGTTTATTTACAGACGCGCTCACGTGCATGTGTGTGAGTTGCTTCTGTAGTTGAATCGGAGCATATTTTATTTGATGCTAGTATGAGCATACCATATCTTTTGTTTTAATCTAAGATTGGGACAAGTTTTGAGCGCACGTGGTGTATCTAGGATATTAAATATCGTTGTACCTACAGCATATTTTGTTTTGCTGGAACAAGTAAAACGGTTGGTCGTTATAGCTGATGAATATCGATAATCGATATTCATTTTTTTATGTTATAGGGGGCATACGAGCAGACGGCTCACCGTCGCCCATGGACACTTGCAACACCAGGAGTATCACAAATGCGATGCCGGCCTTTAAGGAAGGAGTACGCTCTTTTTTTGAAGGTTTTTGGGTCGTATTGGTCCGGAAACACTGCTGGCGACAATATATTCCACAGTTTTGTCGTACGTGGTAAAAAATTTCGACAACTAGCACGGTTGTGGATAGTCACACATCAAGATGATGGGGATGAAATTTTTGTCGCGATGTACGATGGCGAAATGCAGCAGCTGGAATTAATCCGAACAATTCCTCAGAACACTCTCCGTGATAAATGCGATAGAAGATGCAGAGCGAAGCTACATCCCTACGCAAAGCCAAAGGATCAACCTGATCGGAAAGTACCTGGTCGTCGACGATTCGAGCCGCTCGGCGCTGGATGCGATCTAAAGGGAGAAGCTGGTGCTGGGGTGCCCCCACCCAAAGATGAGAGCAGTACTCCATGTGAGGCCGAACCTGTGCCTTATAAAGTTGCAGTCGGTGGACCGGTGTGAAGTACATTCTCGATCTATTGAGCACACCAAGCTTCTTAGAGGCCAATTTGGCCTTGCCCTCTAAATCATCCCGAAACTGGATGACGCTCCATATGTCAACGCCAAGAATTCCAATACTAGCTGACGCAGTTAGAGGAGTGTTCTCAAAAAGAGGAGATACGAATGGTATTTTTTGCGGTGGACGCGCATACTTGTGTCTTCGTAAGGTTAAATTGGACTAAATTAAGTCGGCCCCAATTCGTTACTTGGTTTAACAAAGTTTCGACTTCAGACACAAGTTTGTTCCGGCACTCGATGACGTTTTCCCGTGAAATGTTGGCGCAGCCGGCATATAGGGCATCACCCGTGCTGTCGTCTGCATAACAATGAATGCCATCAATTTGAAGCATATCATTGATATGAAGAAGAAACAGCGTAGTCGATAGCAAACAGCCTTGCGGAACACCAGCGTTTACGGATTTGGAGTCCGAGCATGCACCGTCGACTGCGACCTTGATGCTCCTGTCCGCAAGAAAGCTACACACGCACAGCTTTTCAGGAAGCTTGGAAAGAAGCGCTTTGTGCCAAACCTGATCGTAGGCCTTCGCCATATCCAGACCGACCGCCAATGCTTCCCCCTTGGTCTCGATCGCCTTTGCCCAACGATGAGTCAGGTATACTAGTAGGTCACCAGCCGAGCGACTCTGACGGAAACTGTACTGGTGGTTACTGATCAGCTGGTGGTCCTCTAGGTACCGCAGGAGCTGGCAATTTATAATGGCCTCCATTATCTTGGAGAACAAGGATGTGATAGCTATAGGCCTATAATTAGTAGGGAGTGAGCGGTCGCCTTTTTTAGGAATCGGGTGCACTAAAGCTGTCCTCCATGAGTTCGGAACGACACCTAAAGAGTAGGAGAGCCGGAAAAGACGCGTTAGTACCGGATCCAACTCAGGAGCACACGTCTTCAGCACAATTGGTGAGATTCCATCAGGCCCGCTCGACTTGTGGATGACAAGGGAAAAGAGTGCTTTACGCACTAAGCTTTGTGTGAACCGGATCTCCGGCATTGAGCTCTCACACCGCGGGATGGTCGGCGGTATGTATCCCCTGTCATTTAGAGTCGAGTTAGACGCAAAGAGTGAGCATAAAAGATCCACTTTCTCTTTTGCAGTATGGGCCATCGATTCGTCACCATTGTGCAGGGGTTGGAAGGGATGGCTTACAAAAATTTCCTTCAACAGCCTTGGCAAGAGACCAAAACGCGCGTGTTCCAAAGGGAAGTTTTATTAATCTCTCGCCAATGCTGCTAATGTGCTCCGACTTCGCTCTGGCAATTACTCTTTTGCTGGAGGCCAAGTTATACTTCTTTTTGAGATCGCTAGTGTTGTTATCCCCGACCGCCGCTGCGTTTGCCCAGGCCTGATAACACATCTGTTTTTGGCGAGATGCCAGTTTACAGTAGTGACCAAACCAAGGCTGGGATTTGCCACCAATGGGAACCACAGGAAGGAAAAAAAAGTTCCATACCCTGAAGGACAACATCGGCGACAGAATCGGCAGCGACGTTGGGATCATTCTGTGAGAAGCAGCATACTCCGGATTAGACAATGGTCCGAGGAGCCAAGAGACACTTTGTAATTATCCGGATGTGAAGTCAGCAGAGTCAGTGAAGGTTGTTAGCTAAGTATGTCACCACTTTATCTAAGTTAGGGTCTAATGTGAATGTAAAATAAAAGGGTGTTATGGTTAATCACTGACTGTTTATTCACTTCACCAATGTTCATCTAAATTACTCTGACTCCAAAATATACGGTCTATCTTCTAACTGTTATGCGTACTATTACAATGACTTAAGAATGAACCTGTATGGTCTTCGACATCTGGGATTCGCGTCGGCGAGGTGACCAGTTGTGTCAGACCATAGGCCAAGGCGAAGTCGTGAGCAGATCTGCCTGCAGGATCGGTAGTGGGCGATCCAAGCCATTCGGAGTGGTGGGTATTGAAATCGCCAAGGATCACAATTTCAGATGATGGGATCTGCTGAAGCACGGAGTCTGTAGTCATCTGGACGTGATCATAGAGTCGGTCAATTTCGGCATTTCCGCTATGGGACCTGTAGAGGCAGGTGTAGACGCGGGGATGGTCATCGACGTCTACACGCAACCATAAGATGGAGAGGTCCCTATTGTATAAGAAATAAATATTACTCACACTACTTAGCCTAGCCCCAAAGTAAGCACTGTAAGGCTTGTGTTATGTGATGCTAGTAAAGGATAGCTAACATATTATATAGAGTATGTTTTACCCATAAATAAATATACACAGAGCCATTAAATGGCTGTTATACCGACTGTTTAGTTGAACAAGAGCTGTTTAATCAGCTCTTGTTCAACTAAACAGTTGTGTTAGTTGGGACCCCTGCACCCATTTTGTCTAGAAATATATAGTGAAACCTGGTTAATTGGGATCTAGGGACCAAGGATTTTGAACCTTATAAAGAGGTTTTCATTTATCCAGTTTTCCAATTAGGTTTAAAATTTTGTTGTCTCATTTACAGAGGCCCCTGCTTATAGAGGTTGAAATATGAAAATGTTAATAAAAATGTGTATTTTTGGAGTTATCAATTAAGTGTATGTATTGATTATACAAAAAACAATACAATACAGTAAAGTTTATAACTGAAAAGTAATTGGTTATGTTTGTTTGTATTACTTATGATAGTTATTTGTTATTATTTATTTATTGTTATGATGGATGGTTAGGATTGCTACTTGTTTGAACCTTTTTCTCAAAAGAATAAATTTTATCAAAAATACTAGAATTTCAATATTTGACATTTCAAAATACTTAATATAATCTGATAGAAGCTTTAATTTTTCAAAAGCTGATAATGGTGTCGATTCTAGCGTCATTCTCTAAACTTAAAACTAAATTTAACATCAATCTCTCCTTTTCATTCGGTATAGAGAATGACAAGGATGCACTGTTGACAAATTTAAGTTTAGCTTTAGAGAATCATGCCAGAATCGACATCATTGTGTTATATTTATGTTTGGACATTTTCTGATCATTTATTCGCTTGTTTGTAGGTCAAACTTATAGTATTGACAAACAAAGCTCACAGATGTGATAGAAATTCAAATTTTGTAAACAATTGTGTTGAAACCTATCCCAACTTAATAAATTGTCTCACTTATAAAGGGAATTAAGCTCCAGAGTCCCAATTATAGAGGTAAACATCAAAAAAATCCTAGAAATCTAATCTCATTTAACTAAGTTTGAAAAGTGCCATTAACAGAGGTAATTCAATGAAAAAGTGCCAGGACCTCAGTGTAGTTCTCAATAATAGAGGTTTCTCAATTATCCTGGTCATGCTTATCAGGTTTCACTGTATAAACATCCATGACTAAGGATCAAATGCTTGTATTCATCATACTAGCATTTGCCGCCACCGGAACTCGAACCCGGGACCTCTGTAAACCTTTCCTTCAGAGTCAACATTGCATGAGTGTTACCCTTGGTGATTCAATCGTCCATGGGCAGCAGTGACCACTTACCATCAGATGCTGTCAGTCAGCTTGTTTCCATACATAAACTCAAAAGATTATCTCTTATTTTGAATATCTCACCCATAACTTACCTAAATACTAACGCAGTGACACGAGGTTCAAGTATTCTCATAACAACACCTTGAAATCTAGCAGGATTATATTCTGAAAATCTGGTTCTGCAATATACATCTAATAATTTCAACTCACAACCAAGATTAACAGTAGATACACAGTTCCTGAAACAAGTTACTTGTTGTTTATACTGTATACACAAAAAAAAGGTTTTTGGATAAATAAGGACTTACTGAAACTTGATACTATTCCTAGCTTGATTTGATCCGCTTGCCATGGGTGTAATAGCAGTCATAGAACTATGTGGATTCGTTGTATGTGGTGTAAGGGAGCTATGAGTTGGAGTAAGGGCCACTTCTCCATTAATACGTAATTGATTAGAACTTTGCATAGCTGATGAGATTGTAACTGGATCATTTTTGATAGTTTGTTTTTTTTGAATTGGTGTATATTGAGATGTTATCGGTATGTTACCAGAGTTATTTTTATCAAAGTATCTGCCAAGTTCTGTAGTGTCTTGTTTTTCGTTCACACTTATTATTGCAGCCGGCGGCTCCATAATGCTGTAACTGCAGAAAAAACAACAAAATTATGAACCTGACTAGTGACTAATAAATTATTTATTTTCTGTTCTGCGGTCTGCTTTTTTTTTTTTTTTTTTTTTCGTTTGTCCTTTCGGACAGGCTAAGGTCCGGGACCATACTGCCTCGTCATTAGTTATTTTTCTTCTTTTTATTATTAAAATTCAATATAACTTCCTCAGTTTGATAATTTCCGGTATATTTTCTAGTTTTTTGTTTTACTCTATTATTATGTGCTTTTTTCCGAGCACATTGAACATCTTAAACACCAAACATTTAATTTTTTCTCTTACTAGACAGTCCAATCATGAATTAATTACATCCTATATGAATTTCATATTTATTTAATATCTTTTTTATAGTACACATTTACACAAAAAATAAATCATAGACCAATACCATGCAATACCTTAATCCTAATACAAAACTTAAGAAAAGAAAAAACAAACTTAAAACAACGACATTTGATACGTTTCAAACTTGTTTCAAACCGACGACCTAAACGAAAAAGAATACCTACAAGCAAAATTACGAAAATAAACATTTTTTTTCAAACAAATAAAAGGAAAGAGAACATGCGGTACCTATTAAACTTAACTGAGCGTTTTGTGTATGCAGAACATTTAACCTTAAAATCTAATACACAACGATATTACAGAATATTTATATTTCTTCAACAGTGTTTGCAATGAAATTATACAGAGGAACGTATGTACAATTATTTACAAGAAGATCGGTCAAGGAACGCGGGACCAAATCATGTTTGCCATAAATTTGGATTAGCTCATCCAACAACACAAGGCGCTGAATGCCGAAGGATGGGCAGTCAAAGAAAATGTGAGCTAGGGTTTCTTCTTGGGAATTGCAATGAGTACATTGAGCATTATTCACCATTTGCAACCGAAAGAGATGGAAATTAAGCCGACAATGACCAAACCTTAAGCGAAAAATCGTCGTATAGAATTTTCTATTCAAAAAGCTATTTGATTTGCAGAACCATGGCAATTTGTTTACATCAACATAAAGAGGTGTGTACCATAGACCTTTACCTTTAACCTGTACTATACAATTCCAATGGGCTCGCCACTCTTGGTGCATTCTTTCCTTTAGCAGAACAATCAAATCTGTATAAGGTATAGACATCTTCTGAGTATTGGTTTCAGTAGCTAGAGTATTGATAGATTTTGCTAGATAATCTGCATTTTCATTACCTGTTACACCAATGTGAGACGGAACCCACATGAAACTTACAATTATATTATCAACATTGTATAGATCATACCAGACTTCTTTAATAGCATGAATAATGTAATTGGTGTTTGTAAACTTAATTTATTGTTTTCTAAGTTTTTGAGCACACTCATGCTATCACTAAGTATTAGCCATTTTTTATGTCCTTGATTTTGGTGTTTTATGTGTTTCAGAGCAGCCAAAATTGCTAGAGCTTCTGCAGTGAATACAGAGGAATTTTTGTCTATCTTGTAACCTAAACCAGATTTTATAGAGCTAACGTAAAAAGAAAAAGATGCACTTGAATCATTTTTTGAGCCATCTGTATAAATATGTTTATGATCAACCCAATTTGATAGTTCACCAAACACCTCCTCTTTAGTAGAAAGCTCCTTGTAGATATTTATGTCAATTGATGGAAATTTGCTCTCAAAATGCCCTTCATAGCATGGTAAGATTGAAGGCTTATAAATGTTGGAATTTTCGAGAAACTGAGTGAACTGAGGAAATCCTTGCATGATATACAAAGGCCTACCTGCCAGTGATTGTGATAAATATGAAATATTTTTTAAAAGTTGATTATTGTTTATTGAGAATAGCTTCAAAAGGAATCTTTCCTTTAAGTAACTAAATCTTATTGAAATGGGAGAAAGATTACACTCAATTTGCATAACATTAATGGGAGTGCTTTTGAAAGCACCAGTTATCAAACGCATCTTCTTCTTCTTCTTGCTACGGGCGTTTCCGCAACTCGACGTCCTTATGGCGCCTGTTTTGCGTGAGGAGGGTGTGTGGCCGGAATCACTCCAGCCAGCCCAGCTCCCCCAGGAACGCCCCCAGGGCCTTCACATTGGTGACTGCCTCTTGAAGGTTTCCCGGTGAGCCGAGGTATTTCGCCCGGTATTCGGCCACTCCGTTGCATTCCAGCAGAACGTGAGTAGCTGTTTCTTCTGCCTCCATGCATCCTCTGCATAGGGGGCTGTCCGTGACACCTAAGTTAAAAAGATGTCTGTTAAAATGTGCATGTCCAGTGATAGCACCCGTTACCATGCGCAATGTAGGTTTGCTTAGCTGTAGGAGAGTTTTGGAGAAGGCAGCGTTCACCCGTGGCAAAGCGAGCTTGGTCTGCCTGCACGTCTCCAGGTCGAGCCAGTATTGTTGGTGTAGTTCGGCAGTGTGCTCGCGGATTTTATTGACGAGACAGCTTACCGGTATTGGGACGATTGGTTCAGGACCTGTTGGGGTCGTGTCAGATCCCTTCCGGGCCAGCTCATCCGCAGCGTCGTTTCCGCGTGATCCACTGTGTCCCTTGATCCATTGGATGGTGATGGAATTGCTTGACCCTACCTTGTTTAAGGTTTGGTGGCATTCCTGTAGGAGGCTCGATCTGGCTAAGCAGGCATCTAGAGCTTGTAGGACTGATTTACTGTCGGACAGTATTCGTATTTCCTGACCTGTTACCTTTCTTGAAAGGATCGCTGTTGCCGCCAGTGTGATGCCCATACATTCAGCTTGGAAAACTGTGTTGTATGGGCTTAAGGGGAACGCGATGTGTATGTTGAGGTCCTCAGAGAAAACACCCGCGCCCGTGCTCGATGAGGTTTTAGAGCCGTCGGTGTAGATCATGAGGGCCTTGTGTGTTACCTTTGGATCGTTGTCATCCAGTAGATGTATTCTATACTTTTTGTCAAATATGAAGGCGGGTATTATTTTGTCACATGCAGCATCTATGAGCGGAGTGTTTACCCATTCCTTCAGTATACCGTTGAGATGCTTTGCTCTTTCGAACCTTACCAGTCCAAACTTTTGTAGTCTCAACGCTGTTTTAGCCGCTTCCTGTCTTATGTAGATATGGAGCGGTGTGATGTTTAAAATAACTTCCAGTGCTGCGGTTGGAGCTGTACTCATGCACCCGGTCACCGCGCTGCATATCTGCCGCTGGAAGCTTTGTAGTTTGTTGACACAAGTAGTCTGGATAGATCTCGGCCACCATATGATGGCGCCATAACTTACCATTGGTCGTATGACTGTGTAGTATAACCATAGGAACAGTTTTGGTGCAAGACCCCAGCGCTTCCCTAACATTTGACGACATTGCCAAAGTGTTACGCTGGCTGTCTTGATTTTGTGTTCCACATGGTTACTCCAGTTTAGCTTACTGTCAAGTATAAGGCCTAGATACTTTACCTCCTTCGACAGTTGTAGTGTGATACCAAACAGCTTCGGCAAGTTGAAAGCACCTACGTCACGTTTGGTTGTAAACATTACCAGCTCTGTTTTTGTTGGATTAACTGCGAGGTCGTATTTCCTGCACCAGCATTCAATCATTTTCAGAGCACCTTGCATGGTGTTACAGGTAATGCTGGCGTGGGTGCCTAGGGTAAGTATAGTAATGTCATCTGCATACCCTATGGTGTAGTAGTGGTTCGAGTTTAGCTTGGTCAGCAGGTCGTCAACTACGAGGTTCCACAGAAGTGGCGAGAGGACCCCTCCTTGCGGACATCCTCGTGCCACCACTGCTCCTCTGCTGTCATCACCTTTTACCCGAACTATTCTATTGCGAAGCATGTTAACTGTCCAGTCAATGATTTGTTGCTCTACTCCGTGTCTCCTGAGGGCAGATTCAATGCTGGTGAAGTTGGTCTTATCGAAAGCACCCTCTATATCGATGAAGGTTCCGAGGCAGATAAGTTTATTTTGAAGGGCTTCTTCTATCTTACCGACTAACTGATGGAGAGCCGATTCAGTAGATTTACCTGAACTGTAGGCATGTTGATGTTTGTGTAGTGGGGCATTGATTAATGCTCCACTGCGTAGGTATCTGTCACATAGCCTTTCCATTGTCTTAAGTAAGAAGGTTGTTAGGCTAATGGGCCTGAAGGATTTAGGGTTAGTATAGTCGGTTTTACCCGGTTGGGTATGAATACTACCTTGACCTCCCTCCACAGATGTGGAGTGTACCGATGAGCCAGACATGATCTTAGTATACGAGTAGCCGCATCGACCACGTCCTGTCCGCCCCATTGTAGTAGTGCTGGAAAGATGCCGTCAGAGCCAGCAGATTTGAAAGGCGCAAAGCAGTTGATAGCCCACTTTACTCCCTCAGGCGTAATTACCGTCTCTGCTAGTCTCCAGCATCCTTCTGTTGTACTTGGAGGTTCATCTTGCCAAGTCACCTGCTCTGTAAGCTGGCAGTCCGGAAAGTGGGTTTCTAGGAGGATAGCGTCGCAGTCAGCACGATTGTGGGACAATGTGCCGTCAGGTCGACGCAGGCTTCCCAGCACGCCAGGGCCTTGCTTGGCCAGCAATTTCCTTACCCGGTTTGCCTGGTTGGTGGAGCTTATCTCCTCGGTGAAGTTCCTCCAGGAGGCTGTTCTCCAGTATCTAATACATTTTTTGTACTTAGCTTTGGTAGCTTTGTAGTTGTCCCAGTCTGTGTCGCTGCATGTATTCATTGCTCTGTTAAGGCACTTCCTCACCTTTCCTCTCAATCTCTCGAGCTCCGGCCCCCACCAGTGGTGTTTTCCGGATACTCTCGAGTTCGGGAGTCTAAGGGGGCAGGCCTCTTCGTAGCAACGCGTTATGCTGTCCGACAAGTGTTTTACCTGTTGTTCTAGCTGCTCCGTGGTTTCAATTCTGCCCTTACCGGAGTTGTTTCTTAGAAGGTCCGCCAGTAGTTGTGCGTAGCGGTGTTTATCGGTTTTCCGAGGGTACCTTTGGGGTGTAGGAGGTAGAGTTCCTACCTGTAGTGTAAAACGGATCCAGCGATGATCTGAGCATGATGCCTCATTGGAGACATGCCAGCCAGATATAGCTGTTGCCGCTCTTGGTGTCGCGAGGGTCAGGTCTATGATGGTCTTGCACCGTCTGCCTACGAAGGTAGGTT